TAATTATTCGTGTTTTTAAACTCGTAGGAAAGAAAAATGATATTGGTTTTATGTGTCAGCTGTGTAACTCGGAATACGGAACAAACTTAATAATATTTCAAGATCACACTCTCTATAACAATTTTTTTTTCTGAATCTTACTGATTTCGAACCTTCCCCAACGAAGGGGACCGATGGCTGGCCGTGCCGATATACAGATGTATTTGTTCTGTCAAGAGATTCTTTAGCGAAAAACTTTTTCCACTATTCTAGAACTTCCTCAAATATTATGACTTGTATAGGTATATTTGGAGTGTTTTCGATTTTTTTTCTAGATTCCTGCTAGAAATGAAGTGAATATATCGAAGAAAACATCATGATCCATATTATATACTATCGCATTCCAATATGGAAAAATAGCTTGTAAGAAATAGTGAAAGCTTTCTAATTAGTGGCTCGAAAACAAAACATTTTCAAATGCAGAAAAAGGACAGAAGAAAATGACTGAATGATGATCTGATGTACCTTCACCTAACGTTTCTGCACTCCATCCACTTGCATTTAGTCCTATAGCAAAGTTAATGATAGAGTTAGATCTTTTTTAATGTTGGTTTTATTGAGTGTAATATGATTAGTCCTTCATTTTCTATCCATTCTTTTATCTGATTTCCAGTTGCATTATTTTGTTCACAATCTCAGTCTTGATGGGCTCCATTAAAACCTCTAAAACTGATAGAATTTTTATTTTCACTCTTTTGAAAAAGTTCGAATGAAGGTATCATTTTTGGTGGAACATATACTGCTGCTATATTTACTTTTTGATTTAGTATTTCTACTTCAATTGATGAAAAAAAGGTTGATCTATCTAAAACTGTGCTTTTCAATTTATGTTGTACTAGTATTGCAACACCACCAAAACTGTTATTACCTTCTTGACTATACAAATAGTAATATGCTATTTCCGGTAGTTTATGAATCTGTTTACTTACCCCTGTTAATATAAGTAAATGATGGGAATGAGAAGAGAGAAGAATATTTAAATCGGCTATATGTGCACTAAGGCCCTCACAATTTCATAAGAGTATATTAAAATTTTCAAAACAGCTCGTTGGTCTTTCTTTAATCCATTTTTTGTTAAGTTCAGAAATAGAGATTCTGTTGTTTAGTAAGTGAAGAAAATTTGAAGTCCTATTTCTTCATTTAAGTTTTCTCATAGTAAATTTAATGCATTACCCAAGTGCTTCATTTTGCGTATTGAGCAATTTTTCAAGTGAAACTTGGTGATTTTTATAAATTATTCGAATATCATGTATAAAAGAAACTTGTGTTGATATCTTTTTAAGAATATCATCAAATTCACTTGTTTTTTGTTCGAATTTTCATTTTATCACATTAAAAAGTAAATTTGTTGTTTTTTGACATGACGAGAATAAAGTTTGACTAAATGCTGTGTTAATTGTTAATATAATTTGCCGTTGTGTTTCAATTTGTTGTTGCATTATTAATCAACTTTGTTTGATTATATTTAGATAGTGTTTATATTTCTGTGCGATCATGCGCCGGTCGCCTTCGACATTCTTCTTCAATACTTGTAATTCATTATCAACTGATTTTACTGCGTCATTTAAGTTATGTTGAATTTTAATAACGATGATTCTATATTAATGCTTGTATGATTGGATGGCATATCTAGGCATGCATTTAAATCATTTCTATTAAAAATCGTTCGGTGTTCGAATTCTTGTTGATTATTTTGAGCAGCTTTACTACAAACTACTTTCATTCCGTCACCCCGTTACGGTATTATGATGGTATAAATAATTGTACTTCAGATGGTAAAAGATCTGGACGTTTACGTAATTCCTTAATTAGACGACGACGATATTCTTGTACAAATGGACATTGAAAGTCTGTCGATATGTGATCACCTTGACAATGATGACATTTTATTTTACGTTCTTTATGATCACCACCATTATTTCAGTCACGACGATATCTTTTACATATATCAAAATTTGAGCTTTTACAATTTTTCTTTTGACATATCCTGGTTGGTTACATTTATTACATATTAAAACTTTTGGAGATGGTAAAAATTCATCTATATCATATAAATGACAGTAAATAGAGATTTTACCATTATTTAACATTGAAATATATTCAATTTTATCAAGTATTTCAATTCGAAGATGATGATTTCGATCACTCTTCGTCCCCATAGTTTCTTCAATTAAACATAATGATTTGTATTTAGCTGTAATTTCCATCTTTATATCATCCAGAGAGATGGAATTTGTAACCTATTTTAGTACTGTTGTGTACTGTAGTGGCAAATGCCTTGTTGGATGTGTTCTTATATTAATATTATTTAATTCTTTTGGAAGATAATTTCCTTGTGATAAATAAACAATTATTTCAGCAGATTTACTAATTGCTTGAAGATTTCCATCTTCATCGATTCATCACAAGTCAAATAATAAAGATTTACTGCATGACACATTTTGGTTTAGAAAATCAACCGTAATATAATTAAGAAATGCTTGAATAAATTTTGAACGTTTACTTTGATCTTTTGTTTTTGGGTCACATTCAATTGTAATTGGTTGAAAACGATATTCAGATGCATAATCCAATGCATGTTTTGATATTCAAAATGGATTATCATTGACTTTGTTTTTATTTATCGTTGTTGTTCGTAAATTTTTGTTGTTATTAATATTCGAATTTATTACTGTTCGTGCTTGAACTAGGGGTGATCCTTTATCTTTACTATCCTTTATTATAAAGGATAAAGATAAATGATCATTTATTTTTAAAAAATAACTGTAAATGAATCATTTATCTTTCAAAAATAAAAGAAAAATAAAGGAATAAATGATACTTTTTACGACAGATAATGTGATTGGAAGAGCACTAGAATCATGGAATAAGTCTGCAGAGAGATTATTACCAT